CAAAGTCACAGTTGCTACCATTAAAGGCTGTCTATATTGAAATCACAGTTACTGTCATTAAAGGCTGCCATATTGAAGTCACACTTGCTACCATCAAAGGCTGCCATATTGAAGTCACAGTTACTGCCATTAAAGACTGCCATATTGAAGTCACAGTTACTGTCATTAAAGGCTGCCATATTGAAGTCACACTTGCTATCATTAAAGGCTGCCATTTTGAAGTCACAGTTGCTACCTTTAACGGATGCCATATTGAAGTCACAGTTCCTGCCATTAAAGGCTGCCATATTGAAGTCACAGTTACTGTCATTGAAGGCTGCCATATCGAAGTCACAGTTGCTACCATTGAAATCACAGTTACTGCCATTAAAGACTGCCATATTGAAGTCACAGTTACAGTCATTAAAGGCTGCCATATTGAAATCACAGTTACTGCCACTAAAGGCTGCCATATTGAAATCATAGTTACTGCCACTAAAAGCTGCCATATTGAAATCACAGTTACTGCCACTAAAGGCTGCCATATTGAAATCACAGTTGTTACCATTCAAGGCTGCCATATGAAAGTGACAGTTGCTTCAATTAAAAGATGACATATTGATATCATAGTTACTGCCATTAAAGGCTGCCATGTTGAAGTCACAGTTAGTGCCATTAAAGGCTGCCATATTGAAATCACAGTTACTGCCACTAAAGGCTGCCATATTGAAGTCACAGTTAGTGCCATTAAAGGCCGCCATATTGAAATCATAGTTAGAATTCTGAATGGCAGAATATCAGGTGATTGTAGTGGTAACTTCACATGTTATCATTACAACGGGGCTAGCATGGTAGATTATGCAATAGCTGGATCTAAACTCATTGAGAAATTTCTGTACTTTAAAGTACATAATTTTACTTATATGTCAGACCACTGCCAGATTTCCTGCCTTCTTAGACTTGATAAAAACATTAAACTAGATAAAATTAGTACAAATACAAATACTCTAAATAATCTGCCAAATAGTAATATATGGGATAAACTATCAGTGTTTAATTATCATGAT